TAGGATTTTGCTCTCAGTTCAGAGCCATCCCAGCCAGCTTGCAACACTTCCAATGCTGCTGCTCCACCAGCCTCTTGGTCATCATGTCAGCTGGCTGCCCCGTCGTCTTCACGTAGCGCAACTCAACTTCACCCGCGGCCGTTATGCTCCTCGTCCAGTGCCACTTCACCCTCATGTGCTTGGTCAGGTCGTGCAACACAGGGTTCTTAGCTAGAGCAATGGCTCCCCGGCTGTCATAGTAGACAGGGGTTGGTCCTTGCTGCTCCTCCCCCAATTCAGCCAACAAACGCTGCTGCCACTCGTACGGCACGGAAGAGTGCCATGTACTCGGACTTCAACGAGCTCAATGCTTGGTCCACCTGCTTCTTGCTTTCCCAAGCAGTTGGGCCTCCACCAACACAGCATATGAAGCCTCCCACACTTGTCATGTCCTCTGGTTCTGATGCATAGGAGGCATCCGAGAATGCGGTGAGGAACAAACACCCGGGTTCCACACCATCCACGCCCTTTTGCCGCCTTTGTGCCGCTGCCGAGTTTTGCAGCCCAACGGTGGGCATTTGGCCAAGATACTTGGCCACCCTCATTCCAGCTGCTACCTGCTCCTCATTAGGGCATTGAACAACCCTTGCCAGCTGCCCGGTAGCAAACGCGACATCCGGTCGTGTGTTGACCGCCGCATACATGAGGCTGCCCACCAACGAGTGAAATCGGCGCCTCTCCTCTTCACCAACGCTCTCCTCCTCTGGTCCCTTCACACACTTGAACCCTGAACGGAATGGAGAAGCCATATGGCCTTCACTCTGCCCAAGGATGGCAGCCAAGGCCTCCAGGTACTTCCGTTGGTGCACCCGCATGCACCGCTTCTCCACGTCTCGTTCGATGTGGAGCCCAAGGTAGAAGTTCACGTCGCCAAGTGTCTTGCACTTGAACTTTTCCTTCCTGAAGCTTCAGCATCACCTCCTTCACAAGGTCAGAGGAGGGTGAGAAGATCAGGATGTCGTCCACGTACACCACCATGAAGCTCCTCTGCTCCCCCTCGCCAAGCATGAACAAGGAGTGATCGGTCGTTGAGGGAGTGAAGCCGATCTCCTCCAACACTTCGTGCAGCTTCAAATACCACTACCTAGGGGCTGCTTCAGCCCATAAAGAGCCTTCTTAAGCTTCCACACTCTGCCACTAGCATCATCAAACCCTCCTGGCTGCGCCATAAAAATCTCCTCCTCAAGGATTCCGTTGAGGAACGCCGTTACGATATCCAACTGCTTCACCACCCAACCTTTGATCGCGGCTCCCGCGAGTAGGGTTCGCAGCGTCGTTGGCTTCACCACAGGAGCAAACAGCTCATTGAAGTCCACCTTGTCCTTCTGTTGGTACCCTTTAGCCACAAGTCTCGACTTGTAGTGCTCGATCATGCCGTCGGCGTCGGACTTGATCTTGAAGAGCCACTTGGACGTAATCGCCGTACGCCCCTCCGGTAGCTCCACCAATTCGAACGTGTCGTTCTCCTCAATGCTCTTCAGCTCACTCTCCATTGCCTTCTTCCACTCTTCAGCATCACTGTTCTCCAAGGCTTCCTTGAGAGTTGCTAGTTCTCCCGGCATCTCAACCAGAGAGAAGAACGCGAAGGCACACTCCTCGTACTCGCTCTCCTCGTCGTCTCCGACCATCCTTGCCAATCCGGCCAGGGCCGTCTTGCCCGGCTCTCCCGGCGCATCATATGTCAGCCTCTTAGGGGCTTGAACTTTCCTCTTGACCCTTCCTTCCTCCTCGGCTGCAGGGCCTTGGCGTTGCTGCGGTGTAGCTCGGATCCGTGGAGCACTCGTAGTGCGGGAAGGAAGTGTCGGTGCACGCTCGCTCACTTGCTGCACCTCCTCCTCCTCTTCCTCTCCCTCCTCGGCCTCCTCTCCCCCATTCACAAAGGAAGATTACCTGGTGGTGGTGCTGCCGCTGCTCAGCTCCAAAGGCAGCTCCACATGCTCCAAACCGGAACTCTTCACCTCCCCAAACCGCACGCCTATCTTCGCCTCATTCTCCGCCTTCCAATCCTTGTACATGAAGTTCTCCATGAACTTGCAGTCCCTGCTCACCAAGAACTTCTTGGTGAATGGGTCCCAAAGAAGCCACCCCTTGCTGTTTTGAGCCATGCCCAAGTGCACGGCCCATATCGCCTTGGCACCAAGCTTGTGCGCCGAAGATGCTTAGGCACGAGCGCCATGCACATGCACCCGAACACCTGAAGCATATCCACCTTTGGCTTCCTTCCAAGCCACTCCACATAGGGCACCTATTTATCTGCTACCACATGAGTCAAGGCTCGGATCTTGGCCACACACGCGCTCCGCACCGCATCAGGCCAAAAGTAGTCGGGTAGCCCGGCTTCAATGAGCAACCCACGTGCCGCCTCCGTTATGGTCCAGTTCGCTCGCTCGGCGATGCCGTTCATTGCAGGGGAGTATGGCATGGTGAGGGAGTGCCGAATACCATTCTTCTTCAGCCACAACCCAAACTCCTTGCTCAGGAACTCTCCCCCTCGATCGGTGCGGATTGACTTGACTAGACGGTCTTGTTGCCGCTCCACCATCGGGAACCAATCGGTCTTCAACGTTTCAGCCACGTCGCTCTTCTTGGCCAGCACGTACACCCAAGTCATGCGGGTATAAACGTCGACAATGGTGAGGAAGTACTCAGCTCCAGCAGCTCCAAGCTTCAGGGGGCCCACCACATCCATCACCACCTCGTCAAGTGGTGCCTTGGCCATTGTCTCCGAGCTCGAGAACGGGAAACGGGTAATTTTGGCTTGCATGCACGTCGGGCAGCCAAGTACCTCATCGGGCTCCCCCTTAACACGTATGCTAGCAACCATCTAGTTCTTCAATTGCTGCTGCAAGATGGGTAGGGCCACATGCCCCATGCGCCGATGCAAAGTCAACCAATCACACTCCCCCGTAGCCGAAGTCGGATTGGAGAAAGCCGTGCTCGCAATAGCGCCCCACATGCTCTCTTCATAGTCCTTCTCCTTCGCTGCTGCCTCGGGGTTCTCCTCACCCTTGTGCTGCTCCTTAGCTGTTGCACCACTCTCCTTAGGGTAACACAACTTGTTGGTACCTCCAGGTTTGCTCTTCTTGAGCTCGTTCTCCATTGCGCGACCGCTTGCGCCATCGCCGCTACCAACCGCTTCACCCTTGGTGCTGACGCTTGCTGCCACTTGCCTCTCCTTAGGCATGGGGACCACAGGGATCTGCCACATCTCGTTGTAGACGTCCCTATCCTCGTGAAGGTCCCAAAGAATCCGGTCACCAATCCTCGCGGTGTAGGTCTTGGCTCCCTATGAGTTTGTGTCCATGCCGGCCTTTGCCAATCGCCGCACGGAAATCAGGTTCGCAGCAAGACTGGGCACCCAAAGCGAATTCTTGAGGCCCACCATCTTTCCATCAGAAACCTTGAACATGGCCTTGCCCATGCCTTTCACCTCCGCTCGCTGCCCCAAAGCCGATGTGACATGCTTCACCGGTGACGGCTCGAGTTCGGTGAGCAAGTCGGGGCGAGGTGTCATGCTATAGGTAGCGCCACTATCGATCACCCGATACTCCAGGGGGTGTAGGGTCACCTTCCCCACAGCTGCTGGCTCCTCAAAGCCTTCATCCTTCTCTGGACCAGCTGGTACTTGCGTCGACACGAAGTAGAATAGACCCGGGTACCGATCGTCCTTCGAGTCCTTGTCGTTATATTCGTTCTTCATGTTTGCAGCTCCACCTCCGCGACCGCCACGGCCTCCACGGCCTCTTCCTCTCCCTCCTCCTGCTCCTCTACCCTCTTGGTCTTGAGCAGGGGTCCATCCTTCAGGGAGTTTGCAGCAATTGCGCCACATGTGCCCGGTCTTATGGCAATAGTGACACTCGCCGTCGAATCGGCCGCGACCGCGTCCGTAGCTCTTGTCGTCGCTGCCGTATCCGCCACTCCCGCGGCCTCCGCCAAAGTTGCTGCCACCAAACCTCCCTCCCTCTCGTCCTCTGCCTCTTCCACAGCCAAATCCATGGCCGACGCTCGCTGCCCCAGCGCCATCCGCACTCGCCAACTCACGGCGGCGAAAATACTCTTGAAGGATAGCTCGCTTCACGTCTTCAAGCGAGAGGCGGGGCAAGTCGCGATTCAAGTTGATGATGAGCGAGGACCATGACTCGGGGAGTAGGGCCAGCAACTTGGTCTTCTTTTGGAGCTCACTGTAGTTCAAATCAGCTCCTTCAAGCCGCGTCAACAAGTCGAAGAATTTCTGCACCCCTTCGTCCACGGGTTATCTTCTTCAATCCGTAGCGTCGCCATTTGCCGTTTGAACACCACAGCTACTGCCGCTGTTGCAGGAGCGTGTACACCCTTGAGAGCAGCCCATGCCTTTGGTCCCTTCTCTGGTTCACGCTGGAAAGGCTTGATGTTTGATGTTATCGCTAGCCGCGTGTTAATGCGGTCATTTGTGTCTCGCGCGCGGTTTCTATTTTGTCGTGTGTCTCGTGCGCGGTTTCTATTTTGTCGTGTGTCGAACGTTCGGCGTATCGTAGATGTGTGCAGCAGATCTATCAAAAACTCAAGGATGAGTTTGTAATGAAGAACCCGAGCCTTTGTTTCAAGCTTCAAGTGATTACGAAGCTCGCCAAAAGGGTACACTTCAAGATATTGAAGATAGTTACATTACAATGTGTAGTGTAACATTTCTCTTGGTGTAGGCCCTTTTGAGCTGGGGTTTGTTGGAGCTGGGGTCATTCGCAACCCCTAGTTCTTCCTAATTGTGTGTTCTAAGACTATGTTGCTACCATAGTGCCGTTCGTTCAAACCGACGCTGTGTCGTCAATTCTTAATGAAATGTCAGAATGTTATTCTCTAGCCTGTAGTGGGGTGCTCTATAGCGAGTACAACCCATCTAGGGTTTGCTATATGTATCCTCATTGCTGCTAGTGAACCTCCTCTTTGCCTAAACTTTCTCTTGCCTAGCTAGGGTTCTCCTAGCTATGGCTCCTGCTTATGCTTACTCTTTTGACATGGTAACAGAGCGTTCACGCTCCTGGCCTGTGGGCCCCACTGCTGCTTCCGCTGCCCTACTCAGTGTCGCGCGCCCCGTGGCGCGCGACCTTCACATTTTCATCCCGCCGCGCGCTCGGGGCGTGCGGCGGTTTTCTCCCCGCCGTGCGCACCGAGGCGCACGGCGGTTTCCTACCGTGGGGGACGCCCGCGGCCCCCCGATCCCGTCGCCCGCGGCCCTCCGGTCCCGTCGCCCGCGGCCCCGCGATCCCGTCGCCCTGGGGAGCCGCACGCGACCCCCCGCGGCCCCGTTTTCCCGTCGTGCCGCCCTGGGGAGCCGCGCGCGACCCCCCGCGGCCCCGATTTCCCGTCGTGCCGCCCTGGGGAGCCGCGCGCGACCCCCCGCGGCCCCGATTTCCCGTCGTGCCGCCCTGGGGAGCCGCGCGCGACCCCCCGCGGCCCCGATTTCCCGTCGTGCCGCCCTGGGGAGCCGCGCGCGACCCCCCCGCGGCCCCGATTTCCCGTCGCGCCGCCCTGGGGAGCCGCGCGCGGCCCCTCTCTGCCCCGTGGTCGCGTTCTGGGGGCCGAGCGCCGTCCCCCTCGCCGTCCCCCGCGCTCCTTCCCCCGTTCCGCCCGTTTTTAGGGTTTTGGGGTGCGGAGTGTGGGGGTGGCAGCTCTGGGGGTGCCGTGTGTGTGCGCCGTCCCCTGCTCCTCCTCCTCCTCCGTCTCCCACTGCTGCAGCTGCCGCTGAGGGGGGTGGATGTGTGGGAGCCGAGGTTTAGGGTTTAAGGGGGGTGCCGTGGAAGTGGAGCTAGGGTGTCAGCAGGGGGTGTGTGAGAGGGGCGTGGGACGGTCGGGGGAGGTTGAGCGGAGGCTGCCGTCTTGTCGTCAGCAGCACCTGTAGTCCGGGGCGCTGTTCCGGTAGCTCAGTTGTAGCCAGCTGCGCCAGTCGCCCGTGGGTCCGTTGCTCGTCTGCCGCTCTTCTTAGCCGCGGAGCCAGTTACTCCTGTAGTCCGGGGCGCTGTTCCGGTAGCCACTGTGCCAGTTTGACTCCTGTTGCCCGTGTGTCTGCAGCTTCAGCCGTCGCCTCTCATCTTCTCTCCTTCCACAGTTCCTCCTCCTCCTCACTTGCCCTTTGTGAATGCCTCTAGCTTTGCTTGCACTTGTGAACCTGCTTTCTACCTGCTTGCTCATTGTACTGATTACACCCCACTTTGGCTATGGGGGTGTGTCAGAATGTTATTCTCTAGCCTGTAGTGGGGTGCTCTATAGCGAGTACAACCCATCTAGGGTTTGCTATATGTATCCTCATTGCTGCTAGTGAACCTCCTCTTTGCCTAAACTTTCTCTTGCCTAGCTAGGGTTCTCCTAGCTATGGCTCCTGCTTATGCTTACTCTTTTGACATGAAATTGTGCGAAGTAAATTGCATGTTGTAGGCGACGTCAAGACGCTCCAGATCCAATTTGAATCAGGTCATTTGGAGCTGTGACCAGATCGCTATGAACGTTTGAAGTTGCTGTGCAGAAATCCGACTGTGCACTCAATCTTTTGTTTTAGGCACATAGAAGCCTATTGTGACTATAACAAAAAGCACCATTAGAATTCCGCCAGACATCAGTATGTTTTAGCCCTTGACCAAGGCCATCTTATCCAATTCGAATCGTATAAAAAGATGGAGTAAAAATCAAGTTATGATTTTCGGCGCACTAGGGGGTATGCTGCCATAGATAATTAATCCAATCACAAGAGTCTCACAAGTTTCACACATGAATGTTGGAGTGGCAATAAACCAGGTGGGAGGGGATGAGTAGGACAAGAGGGAAGGTCCCAAGAGAGTCCCCAACCAAGGAAACCCCATGCCACACAATTCCCCTTTCTATAGCAACCCCACTTTTGACTTTTGTCACTTTCCCAACCTCCACAATCCACCTCACCCAAGTTGGCCACACTTGCCAACCCAAGTTAGGTTTCTCCCAACCACTTGGCAGCATCTACAGTGATGGGGACGAATTTCCCAACCCCCAAAAGTCTGTACCCCATATAGAGCCACTCCCACAACTTCCCATAGTCACCACAACCAATCATGAAAAGCATACGAACTTCGAACGTTCGTAACTTTCTCGTTTGTGCTCCGATTGAAGCGATCCCTGGCTCGTCGGAAAGCACTCAAGCAGAGCAATCACTTCAGATATCTGCTCATGCCAAATGACATTCACACACACTCAGAAAATCCAAACCACACAAAACACAAATTCTTGCACATGCTCACACCACGCATGCAACGCACGAACATATGATGGGAGGCAGACAGACGTGAATGCAAATGATAGCATCACATAACAAACTCCCCCTCTGGCTGCCAACCATCATCCCACATGCCACGGTTCAAGCGTGCACGCTCAATGCACACTCATTCCAGCAAGTTTCATGCCCTTCCAATGCTCAGGTTCAGCCAGGCGCTTGGTGAGAATGTCAGCCGCCTGCTGCTGGGTCTTCACAATCTCCAGCCGCACCTCCTTGTCCAGGAGCCTCCTCGTCCAATGCCACTTAGGCCTGATGTGCTTCGTCAGCCCATGCAGACATGCATTCTTGGCCAACTTCATAGACAACTCAATGTCACAAAACATCACAGTCGGCTCCCTCTGACCAACACCGATCTCCTCCAACAAACGCATCAACCACACCACCTCCTTGGCCCCATGATGAAGGGCCTTGTACTCGGTCTCACATGAGGACAGCCCCACCTCGTTCTGCTTCTTGCTGCGCCAGCTCACTGCACCACCTCCAAAGAGGCAGACATAGCCTCTAATGCTGGTGCCATCCACCTTCACAGAGTTGAAGCTAGCGCCGTTGTTGCAAGTCATCAGCATCTCTCCCGTGCTCAATTTAGCTGCACCCCTCTGCAGCCTCTGTCGCACAGCACTGTACTCCAAGCCCACTGATGTCGTTGCACTCATATAGCGGACCAGCCTCTTAGCCACTTCCAGCTACTCATGGCTGGGGCGAGAAACCACACTAGCAAGCTTAGATGTTGCAAAGGCAATGTCAGGCCGCGTGTGGTTGGCCGCATAGTTGAGCGCCCCAACCATGGAATGAAACAGCTTCCTGTCACTCTCACCCACCACCTCCTAATCACCACAGGGCTCCGCAGTGAACCCCGAAGGCAATGAGGTGGCTGGCTTTCCTCCATCTTGCAGCCCATACTTCTTAGCCCGCCCCTCACAATACTGTCTCTGATGCAACCTCATCACTCCGTTGTCGAGGTCTCTCTCCACATGCATCCCAAGGTAATACTTCACATCTCCCATCTTTGAGCACTTGAACTGCATTTCCAGCATCTCCTCCACACGCTCAATCATCGCAGACGACTCAGATAAAAGCAAGATGTCATCCACTTACACCAAGAGCATGAGAAACTGCTCCTCTTGCAACGAGAACAGGCTGTGGTCGCACTCACTCTTCTTGAATCCCCCAGCCAGCAGTGTCTCCTCTAGCTTGTGGTACCATGCACGAGGAGCCTGCTTCAGGCCATAGATGGCCTTCTTCAGCCTGCACACCCTGCCGCTCCCATCATCCAACCCCTCAGGTTGTAACATGTACAGCTCCTCCGGAATGATCCCGTTGAGGAAGGCAATTATTATATCCATCTGCTTGATCCTCCATCCACGGTTTGCAGCCATAGACAACATCACCCTCAGTGTTGTTCCTTTCCCTACTGGAGCATAGAGCTCGTTGAAGTCCTTTCCCTTTGCATGCTGGAACCCCTTAGCCACAAGCCTTGACTTGTAGCGGGTCAGCTCCCCATCAGGTCCGTACTTGTGCCTGAAGATCAGCTTGGAAGAAATGGCCTTCTTCCCAGGAGACAGCTCATAGAGCTCCCACGTTTCAATCTCTAGCAAAAAGTCATACTCCACTATGCTTCCACTTCTCAGCATCGGGCCCACTCAAGGCCTCGGTAAGCGTCTTGGGCTCAGGGACGGCTCCCCAGTAGCCATGTGTTATCTACTCCTCATCACACTGCTCAGCCACACTCCCAGCCCTTACCACCTTTGGCTTCCCAAAGCTCGGATAGGTCAGCCGGTTAGGAGGGCGGACATCCCTCCTAGGACAGTCAGCCGCATGTGCGGCACCTTGTGGAGCACCTTGCTGCTGCTGCGGCTGCTGCTGCTGCTGTTGCTGCTGCTGCTGCTCCTCCACCTCAGGTTCTCCCCCATCCTCAGTCACCCCAGAGATCTCCTCCTCTGAGACAGTGACCTGCACTTGCCTCGAAGGCCACTGCACCTCATTGGCCTCAATCATCAGCGGTGTAGTAGGAAGCTTTTGCTGCTGCTGCTTCCACTCCTTGTAGTACAACAATTCAAGGAACTTCACATCCCTTGACACAGTCAGTTGCTGGCTGGTCAAGTCTCATATCAACCAGCACTTGTGATCGGTAGCAAGTCCCAAGTGCACACCCCATCTCCCAGAAGCTTCCAGCTTTTCCCTCTTCTCCTTCACCACATGAAACACCACTGTGCACCCATAAGCTCTCGGCATATTGACTGCTGGTGCACTCCCATACCACTTGGTGTAGGGGACCCACTGCTTGTCCCACGCAGTCGCCAGCACCCTGTTCTTCACAAGAGCGACCTGCCTCAGTGCAGTCACCCAAAACGGATCCGGCAGCCCTGCACGCCCAAGGAGAGTGCGAGCACCTTCCTGCAAGGTCCGGTTGAACCGCTCAGCCACGCCATTCTGCTGAGGGTTATAGGGCACTGTTAGTTGATGCTGGATCTCCTTCTTCAGCACCGCCTCAAAATCAGCGCCAATGAACTCTCCCCCGTTGTCGGTGCGGATCACCTTCACCTTGTGTCCGCTCTCCCTTTGAGCTCTCGGCATCCACTCCTTCAAAAAAGCCGCTTCCACCTCCTCCTTGGTCTTGAGAGGGTACACCCACACCGCACGCGTGTGGTCGTCCACGATGGTCAAGAAGTAGCGGCTGCCCGAGAGAGAAGGGGCCCTCGTAGGACCCACCACATCCATGTGCACAAGCGCAAGTGGTGCCTTGGCTGGTCCCGTGCTGCTGCTGAAAGGGAACTTGGTGAATTTCGTCTCAAGGCATGTAGGGCAGCTCCCAATCTCCTTTGCTGCCCCCTTCACCTCCAACCCCTTCAAGCTCCCATCCTTCACCAACTTCTGCAGCATCGGAATGTTGATGTGGCACAACCTCTCGTGCCACGTCTCCCAATCGGCCTCACCACTCCCAGATGAAGCCTTTGCCCATGCAGCTGTCGCATCCACACCAGCAAGCACCTCACCATGTAATTGCTGTGGCTGCTGTAGCTTCTTGACTGCATCCAGGGCCCCAGCAGTTGGTGCAGTCTCCTCTCCTCGCGCAGTTGCCTTAGCCGTTGCTCCTGCCGCCGCCGTTGCTGGTGGTTTCCCGTTCCAAGGGATGATGGGCAGCTGCCATAGGTCCTTGATGCAGCTGCTCTTCTCGTCCAAATCCCACAGCAGCAACTTCCCAAGCTTCGCACAGCAGCTAGTTGGGCCGAACGTAACTTTGGCCTTGCTTTTCTGCAACCGGTGCACTGAGAGGAGGTTAGCGGACAAACCTTCAACCAACAGCATGTTCCCCAGCCCCACAAGCTCCCCATTAGCTCCCATCACCTTGGCATTCCCCACACCAATCACAGGGAGCAAAGCACCTGAAGCGGCAGCCACAAACTTGATATTTCCATAGGGCTTTACCTCATCAAGCAAATCTGCCCGTGGGGTCATGTGACTTGTGCAACCTGAATC